CTATGTCTATGTCTATGTCTATGTCTATGTCTATATATAGTAAGAAAAGAAAAAGACAAATGAACTACAATTTCATCCCTACAAGCCTGTTTCGTGGTTGCCCACTCATCAAGGGATTTAATAAGAATATGCTTTACCATGGCTTATATACCAATTAATTTACATAATAATAATGAACTAATCAAACTAATCTAACTTATGCGGTGCGAAATCTAACAGTTCAATTACTGCGTAAAAGGGCTTTGTTTCTATGGCGGCAAGACGACGCAAGCTCATTACGTTTGTTAAGGGTAGAAAGTTCTGGTCGGCAAATGATTAGAAAATTTTCTTTAAGGCATACAGTGTAGGTTGCATCTTTTGTTGGAACTGTTGTACGGCGAGTGTGAAGAGAGAATGCACCAGGAAATAAAGTGTTCGATGTTGTCCAGATGTATTTACTAAGCTGTAAGATTGTGTTAGGTGCTTTTCTCTTGCCGGCCCTTTTCTCCTTCATTGCAGCCTTGAAATTCTTCCATTCAGCCATTTTGACAGCTAGCAAGGCACGTGCATAAAAGAAATGTACCACAAGAAGCCCAAGCTCATCATAAAACCTCGCAAAGTACACTTGGATACTGTGGCAGTCATAGGCCACGGAGATTTGTTTTTCAATATTTTTCAATGGCAGCGATAGGCCATCAACAATTTAATTTAATTTCACTTTGATTTTTATTTCATTTTAAATTGAACTTGAAATGTAGTTTGACTTTCTTTTGACTTTCTTTTGAATTTTGTTTTCATTTAATTGTGGTTTTAATTTGAATTTGAAAAAAAAAAAGATTTTGTTTTGTTTTTATTTTTATTTATTTTTAAATCAATGAAAAAATCCAATGGCAGCTATCGGCCACCATACTCAATTTTCAGGGGTTTATGAAAATTCTTCCACCCACTGAAACACCAACCCAAATTAATTCGTATGTCACTCTATCTCACTTCAGATAAACCTAAAGATACTTTGCTCTCTCCAACTAAGTTGGATGTATGTGAGAATAAAGCCATTAAACTTATTTGCACGGCTGATGCATATCCTTCAGTCAAGAACTACTCGCTGTACAATGGAAATATTTACCTTGGATCAAACAGCAATGGACAGTCTACTACAACAGCAAGATCATTGGGATGGAATAAGTTTTGTTGTGTTGCTTCGAATGAACTTGGAAGTGGTCATTGTGCCTTTTCTGATGTATACGTGCTGGGTAAGTGAAATGATATGAGTGGGTATTAGTCATACTACTTATCCATACTGTAACGATATTTGACAGATGTCATTCTTTATATGCGGTCGATAACGTACTTTTCTATCAAACACTTTCATGCGTTGTAGGTTTGTATTGTGTTCTTCTGTCTGTTACCGGAACTTTCGTCGTGGATGTTACACGAACTGTTAAGACCGACTATTTCACAGTCCTCTCCTTCGTCGTTTTTCTCCTTTTCTTTTGTACCCACTTTCAACTCCTTCAGTCGAAATGATGTTTTTCCCGTCTAGAAATATAAAAGCTGAACAAAATGATTATGCCAATGATGATCATGATCCGAAAAGTTTAATAATGACCAATGCTTACTTGCAGGAAACATAAACACACTGTGTAAAATCAATGACGAGAATACATCAGTTGCAGTAGTAAAGGAAGGAGATAAAGTAGTTCTGCAGTGTAACGTAACTGGGAATGAATCATACTACATCTACCAGTGGATCAAAGTAAAGGACAGTCTGTCTGTCAGGAATGATACACGGCAATTAACATTTGGTTCAATAAACCGCACGGATGAGGGTTATTACCAGGTGACTTTGCGAGATAAACTAAACTGCTCATCCAAAACAAGGTCTTTTAACATCACTGTCAACTGTAAGTAGGATTTTATTGAACTAGTCTTCAATTATGATATAATACAACAGTGCTTGGCATTAATATCATTAGACAGAAAATATCAGCTTCGTGATTCCGCCTAAAAAGAGAGCAAAGAGAGGGGTGTAACTCATCAAAACATTTTAATTTTTTTTCGGAAGATAAACCTGAGAATACAGGTATCAAGATTACACCTGACAAGAAGGACTTCTGTGAAGGAGAGTCGATAAACATCAACTGCACATCAGACGCTAATCCTGCCCCAGTCTACTTCTTGTATCGTAATAACGTGTTTAACGGTAGTAATAGAGACGGTGTCTTTGTTGTTAAACTTGCGGAGAATGGAAACTACACTTTTACTTGTGTACCGAACAATAGAGTTGGTGTTGGACCAGATAAGAGCAAAAGTGTTACAGTAAAAGGTAAATAGCTGGCCTTGCTTTTCATTACCTGTTTTCTTTTGCGTGTGTGCGTTGTTTTGTATGTTATAATTGGTACTCTGAAAATTTGAATTCGAACCCTACAGCCGGTGATTTGTTTTTAAGCTGGGTTCGCGTTGAATAATGTTATGAGCAACAAATAGCCAAACAAAACCAGCAACCGAACTTCAACAACAAAACCGAACTTCAAGAGGCCTGCAGCAGCCTAATATAAGTTTTTTTTTTAAAGAAGTTCATATATCGCATAAAGTTATTATCTCTGTGCAACAGTAATCCCAACCCCCCCCCCCCCCCAAATCCCTAAGCCACTACTACTTGTTGTAGTAATTCTGTGGTATCAGTTCCAGTTTCAAAACTGCGTGCAGATATTTTTTTGGATAGTTTGAAACAATATTTGGAATAAAAATGAAATCTATAGGACATGGCGTTTTTGAAATGGTAAATCGAAGACCTCTTAGCTACTTTGCATTTAAATATGAAGACCATCCCATCATGGCGTCTATGAGGAATATAACCTATTTAAATCCAGCGAGGGATTGATAATCAGCAGGGAAAAGCGTGGTCGACGAATTGAATGGAATTGCTTATTATAAATTCACGGCTCTCGGGATGTATGTAGCGGCTTAATTCCACCGTTCAAGAACGAGCGATTTAATTTGACTTGTGCTTCATGTGTAAACCCCTCGTTGGCATATTAGAGTTATTTGCAGTTTGGTCGCGGATCGGTCAATAATTTAGGATGCAATTTGAGTTCTAATATAACGCATATCAGTATCTTATAAAAGTAGTTGTAAATCCCCCTATTCTTGAAAGTATATACTATCC